CCACCCCAAACGCCTTCTCAGAAGGTACTTGGAGGCCTAGGGTATAGAGAACCCTGGCCATCCTCCCAAGTTGGGGCTTCGAAGCCCAAGTCACACAATGGTCGATCACCGTGAAGCCTTTTCCCGTGCTGATCCGTGGATCGTCCAGTGGCAGCGCTGCCAGTGTGGCGGCCGGCGGCAAACAGTTGGTGTCGGTGGAGGGTAGCCAAGGCGGGTCGGTGGCAGCGTGCTGCTGCCAATACTTCACCTGACCATAGTCACAAAGAGCCTGTGCACCCTTTTGCTTTGAAGTTGTATGAGGAATGACGTCAAAACATATCAAAAGAACTGGTCTACTATGGTCTACTCCAAATATATGCAATAATATGGATTACATAGGACCTAGGAAAAGCAGAAAAGAAAAACATCTTGACCGTGCTGCTGCAACACATTCATCACGCCCACTTCTCCGGCCCGCTCACCCTTCGAGAGCCCTTCTCCCTGGCCTGGGGTCCCAAGAAGCATTTCCCCACGCCGCCCACGGAGATGTGCTGCAGAAAGGGGAACAGCTGCCCAGCGGCCACGGAGTTGGGCGCATCGCAGCTCACGCGGAAGATGCCTGGGTTTCGGCGGAGGAGCGGGGTTACGGCGCGGGTTTAGGCAGGTTTCGGCGCGAGGAAGGTTTCCCCTGCATGTTGAGACGCCAGCTTCTAAGGAGTTCGGATGTTGATGATACTTGGATCTATGAGGTTATTGTCTGCAGGATGGAAGCTTCCCCAGACTTCACCTCAAGGTCACATTGTAGGGCGCGGTTAAGAGGAAGGCAGCATGCCAAGGCTTCGCGACCCTTTACATAGTTAGTTTTCGTGGCAGGCGCAGTGCAAGAGTGCAGAAGCGAACCAAACGTTAAAAGTTAAAACACAGCACCACAAAAGAAATCACTAGAAACTATGCACCCTATCGCCCTTTCAGTGAAGGGCATCTAAAAGTGCACAAAAGGACCTAAGGCAACCGAAGCCAAAAGCATTGTACGTTTGTTTGCAGGAAAACTGCGGCGAATAAGCTACAAGGGGACCGGACCAGGACCAAAGGACCAGGGAGCCAAAGGGCCTGCGGACCAGAGGACCAAGGGACCAAAGGACCAGGGGACCAAAGGACCCGCAGACCACAGGGCCAGGAGAGCAGCAGAAGAGGCCTATCAGGAAAACAATTATCCTTTATTAATGTGGTTGATCCTCTTTCTATTTTTGTTGATGCTCTTTTTACTTTTTTGTTGATCTAGATTTAGATGCCCCATAATTATGCATGTTCCTCCCTCATGATCCCTCATCCCCACGCAATCGAAAGTTGCTTCGAAAACCAACCCCAAACTTACAACATGGCATCAGACATGCTAAAAATTCCAGGCTTTACTGTATCATCCCACCGTGTGTTAGTGAGCAGCCACTGAGCCGCTCCTATAGGCGATGTTCTTTAGGATGTGACTCACTGACCACTTGCACAACCCCCCACCCACTCCGCGCGCCCCTTTTCCCGGCCGAGCCGCAGTTCCAGGGATTTGGAGGCGCCAAGATGAAGCCCGCGACCAAGGTCAAGGAGGCCAAATAGGTGACGTTGATTCCTGAGGAGGGAAGAGGGAAGATGAGGTGCGGACCTCTGACCTCTCCCATGGTGTCATCTCCATGGTGCAGGCCCCTGAAAGACCTTGCTTTTGGCTGGCCACTCCTGCGAACCTTGATCTAGACCAGCAAGAACTGCAAGAAGAAACCGAAGGGGAGGTAATCGATTTCACGGAATCGCAGGAGGAAGGTCGAGGCGCAGATTGGGGGTTCAGTGGTCGGTAATCCAAACAAGCCCAGATGCCTGGCATCCCGGTTCGAGCCGATGCCGACGTCACCCCGAAAGGTCCTTGCAAACTGGCCATCCCTTTCCTTCCTCTGAGAAACCCCGTTTCTTCATGTGAACTTCTCATGGCCACCTGTCCCATGCTGTGATTCGCCCGGGTGTGTCGTTTCTCACGGGGCGCCCCAAAAAATCACCTGACAATAGAGCTCACCTGACAACACCTCCGAACCAAATTCCGGTAAGAGTTTCCCAGGTTGTGCAGCACACACTTCCGGAAGTCACCGCCGTAGGTGTAGATGTAGGAGCAGTTGGCCAGGATCACAATCATAAAGACAGAAGCCAAGGTACCATCGTAATTGTCGCCTTTCAACCTTGGAGTCGAAAAGAAAAGAACCATGTTGCTGACTGGCTCGCCTGGCTTCCTGGGTGCCTCAAACTTGATCTTCAGCCGAAACACATCCACAAATGGGCGCTGATCGAAATGTCGAAGACCGGGTTCAGCGGGTCATACCACTCCTGGCCTTTCATCAGGAAGAGGGCCATGATATAGAAGAGCAAGACCAGAAGCACCTCATCCGGCGGTTTTCACCCGGGCCAGAAGGTGGACCCTACGCCTGTCGATGTTTTGGACATCCGGAAGGCCAAACAAAGGAGTTTGGAATGGTTTTGGGATGCGTTTGGAAGGTTTGGATGGTTTGGATGGGATTTTGGAATTGTTTTGGATTGTTTTGGAATGGTTTGGAAGGTTTTGGATGGTCTATTTCCAAAACCTTCCCAGCTATTCGAGGTGGTGAGGTGTTGCCTGGTTTTGCACCGATTGGAGCTACACACCCCAAATGGCCATTCCACATCGTGGGCTCTCGGGCCACGGCGAACCTCCGACCCTTCTCGACTGACTGGAGACTCGGCTGGAAAAAAAAGCCTCTGGGAACACCAATCAGCCAAATCATATCCAATCATCATGTCATAATGATTTCCATCTAAGAACGCCACCCTCTTCAACCCAAACCCGAACTCTTTGAGACATCTCCCGTCCGGCCGCTGAACCCTCCAGACGCCGCGACGAAGCCGCTAAGCCGGCTGAGGCAAAGGCCGCGCCTGGCTGGCGATAGAGAGCACGGTGCGATAGCCCAACAGCGAGGCAGTGGGACGGATCTTCTTCAGCCGGGGCAAGGCACGGGAGCGGGTCATGTAGAAGGTCACCAAGATACCTGGCGAAAACGTTCCGGGCGTTCGCCGCAGGCGTTCGCCGCGGGCGTTTGCGGCGTTGTGCAGCGTTGGGGGATTGCATGTTCCTCGAGCCTGAGGGGAAAACATTCTTTTTTTCCGAGGGACTCCCTATAAGAGCATAGCGACACAGCGTATATGTGGGAAAATGTGTCTGCCAAGGTTTCTGTGACTCGCTCGTTTCCGGATGTCGACCTTTGTCTAGCACTGGAGTGCGGTCGAACTGATCCTGTGCACATGCTCGATTTTGGGGCGATTGCTCGTGTGTTGGTGGATTGTTTGGCATGCGGCATGCATACGTATCATACGTTGACCAATTTCGAGATCACCACATATCACCACTATAGCTACACCTTTGTGATTGAAACGGCTACTAGCTTAATGGAATTTGGGCACAGGAACAGCCAGCTAATTACCAGCAATTCTGGAGTTTCACATCTTGCAAGAGCTGCGAGGAATTCCGAGGATTTCTTTACCACAGGGTCTGAGAATGAGCTGGCACCTGAAATTCCCTCTTCAGGCTCTGGACAAGTTGATGAGCCTTCCCGAGCTCCAGAACCCCGAGCTCTCACGGAGGCATCTCTCTGACCCGAGTCGATGCGCATGGGCTCCATGATCACACGTCATCAAGCCGAGCCGCCCAGAAAGATGTCCTTGATTAACCAGATCCATTCCCCCGGAGTGATATTGTTGTCAATCATGGCGATCCTCAGGCTCAGAATCCAACCACATCTCTTCAATCCTGAGGCCTTCTATAGGCTATTCTAAAAACCATTGGCTGGCATCAGGCCAGTGGCCACCTGCGAACTGACTTGATGCATAAAGGGGACTTCTTGATATATAGGACTAATGGGGAACCCACTTGGTTGGACCAGATCCCGCACCTATCTGCACCTCAAAAAGGCCAAAAAATATGCCTTTTGGGCCCTAAGGGGTCAGTACTGGGTTCAGGTTTGATGCAAGTGGACTCCTCCATCGACAAGAAAAGGTGCACCAAATGGTCCAAGGCGCGTAAATATGCCTCAGTACACGCAGAGCGGAAAGAAGGCCGAAATCACTCAGAGTTTGCAAGAGCGGTCCCACCCAGGCCACTCCACTAGTAAGACCAAAATAGAATGATGTCATGTTTCTTCCCACCAACCATTGCCAACCACCCCTCTCTTGTCAACGGTCAACGTAAACATTTGTAATTGGTAACCAGCAACATTCACCTTTGTGGTCAAGGTCGCTGAGCCCCTCTGTTGTGTATTAAACTCATCGAAGAAGTGAGCCTTCACTTTCACCCACGAAACCAACTCTAAGAAGCCTCACCTTCACCTTGTGGTAGGATGTGGTAGAGGTGGAGCAGGGGGAAAGCAAAACCATCATCGCCCCAGGCACTGGTGAAGCTGAAAGCCTGGATGATGAAGTAGGAGAAGGTGGCTAAGTTGGTTGCCAAACAGGCGCGCCCTTCACGGATGAGGTCCGGCACCGTGATCCTCAGTGTGAACTTTCCAGAAAATGACAGGAGTCAGGAGTCCAGGAGTGTGATTTAAGAGGTGCGGGGAAGTTGGTGTTGATGTTCTTTCGATATTGCCTCAACCGCCACCGCAACCGCGGTTTCTCTTCGAATTCGGCTCGTTTCTTTTCGTGTCTCTCCGTCGGTGTTTGTTCGTCTCATAAGCCTCAATGGCCGGGTTGCATGGGCTCAAGGCGACAGACCCTTTGAGCTCTTGCCTTCTTGAGCCACCTTCATATCAAACGAGATCCCTGCCATACCCTCATCCACCTTCTCAGGGCTTCAAAGAAGGAGAACAGGCAACAATTATATAGAATCATCAATAATGTTAGAATGTCTGTTCATTTCTTTTCCTTCAAAAGACCTCCGGGCAATTCTGAGGAACTCGTGACCTCATTCATCAAACAGGTTCGACCTCAACTCCTTCCCAATCGTTCCCCCCAACTGCGCTTCATCCGAGTTGCAAGGTGATCTGGTTCCCTGACACCTTCTCCTGCCGCCCCGTCGAGAACGGCGCCACCAACGAGGCTTCCGCCGTCGACAGCGCCAGCCCCGCGTGCGCGGCGCGCAGCGCGCCGCAGTCGTTGCCGCCGTCGCCGGCCATGCCCACCTGGGAGCGCTCAGGGTCAGCACCGAACCGACCCGGTTCGGTACGGCTGGACCCGTCCGAACCTAACAGATCATCACAGTGGAGACCAATAAGCGCATCGAAGGTACGACTGGATATCTAGGGGTTCGATGGAACATGATCTTGGCGGTGCTCGAGATGTTAATGCTATGGAATCAGATGTAGCTTGAACGTCAGGCTACGGACGGATGTTTCTCTGGACGTCAGGTCAGGTCCAAACTGAGCCAAATGTTTCTTTTGTGCGCCTAGTTGGCCGAAAGCTGCCCAAAAGGCATTTGTCCTCACCTCATCTCACCTCCAAAGGGATTGAACACCCACAGGTCGCTTCTGTGGCAGTTCCAGATTCCAAGCGGCAATCAGCCCCTGACGTTGAAAGAGCTTGATCACCTCGGTAGAAGCCAGTCACGAGGTTCAGGTGACCGAATTCAGCATCGAAGGTGACCGAATCCGCCCTAAGATGGACATCTTTTGGATGTCTTTGGACACCATGGATTGGTCGTTTGTGTATGTTTGTGTCATTTCTGCGCCCTTCTGTCCTGTATTGCGCTCTTAGAGTCTTGGAGTCTTGTGTGCCCTTCCGGTTGTGTCTCTTGTACTATATTTTTTTAGAGCATGTTTCTTTTTGGGCGCGCGTCGTTGTTCACTATGTTAAACTGTCAATCTTGCACCCTAGACAAAGGGCGTGGCACTGCCCGGATAATAATTAAGTCGTTCAAGCACCATGTAGCCGAAACAAAATCTGCATGCAGTACTGGTTATTGACATATGACATTGGCATGGAAAATGGCCCAGGGTGCAGAGGAGGCTGATCGGGAAAAGGTCCAGTGATATGTCCATTGTCCATGCCCAACTGAAGTGTAAAGGGTTTGCAAACACTGTGACAACCTATAACCTATCAACCAGCTTCATTCCCCTCACCTCAAGAATACGGCTATAGAAATTGGTAGAAGAATGATGTAGAAAACCCCTATACCGGGTTTAGGTCCGCGTGTTTTCCTTCACATGGCGATACTCCGTGTGTTGCAGCTTTGCCGAAGCATCTTCCACCCCCTTAGGAGAATGCGCCTTCGAAAAGAAGTTGACTCCTCCCTCATTGACGCACCGCTTCGCCCGTACAGGAGCCCAAATCACGTTGATCTTGTCGACGGGCTTCATCCGGCCAAAGACCACACAGCGAGGCCAAATCTCCTCCAAGAGCGATTCCCGGTGCAGTCCGTCAATTCATTCGGTGGGTCGACTGGGGTAGGACGGGACTTCGTCTGCAAGACGAAGCAACCAATGGGTCGATGAGAGTCGATGGAACCCCTGAAAAGCTGCGGGACCTTCATGGAGATCCTAGGTAGTGTAGGGGCTTCCATTGGTGACTCCTTTGAAGGTGCTGGATATAGAGCTAAATATGAATAAATCAACTTCTTTGTTCAGATCCTTCGGTGAACAGATAGGACAGCGGCACGGGACTCAGACATTGGGGGGGTTCCCCTGTACTGCTTAGAGGTACCAAATAAAGATCTTGAATGTTTTTGATGGTCTTCTTTGGGGGGTGTCGAATTCGTCCACAAACAGCCCAAACCATGATTCCCCGCCACTCGTGCAGCTTCTGTTGGAGCGGGATTGGCGGATTGGCTCCCTCCAAGGCCTGCAAGAGCTCCGGCTCATGCTCGCACAAATGCCGCCAGGCACTACAGGACAAAGCCAGCTGATAGCGAGGATCCAAAGGATCACAAACCTGGAGGACACCCAGGTCGGATAGCAACAGGTCACTCGTGCGTATGGAGTGTAAAGCTTCCTCCAACAAACCGATCTGATGGATATTTAGTGGATCATTACAGCGACTAATTCATTGATTAGTTGGGGTGAATCACAACAATGTAAATGGAAGCCGGACTTCAACCAAGAACATCTGGACCTCCAAAGAAATGCTCCATGGAATGGAGATCCACAAAGTAGTGTGGGTAGTCTATTGGACCCTTGGAAGGTGCTGGTATCAAACAGAATTCTACTCTAACTGCAGTCCGGCTCACCTCCACTAGTTCCATCTAAGCATCCACTGATTCATAGATTCATATCTTCTGCCCACAAATAGTTAATCTTCCAGATTCCAAACTTTTTCCAAGCCCTGGGTGGCTCCTCGGAGGCTAGAACTGTTTGGAAGTCAGAATCTAGTCGATCGCCCGATCGAAACAATGACAAAAGAATCCAGGTCTGGCAGTCTTCCATCGCCTGCCTTCCGCATTCCGCTTTCACCTCCATTCCCCACCTGTTGATCCTTCTCGTCGCTGAACCTCAACTGGCCCTCTGCCAGCACCGCGTGCCTCGGCGAGTTATCAGTGCGCCTGGTTCTGAGACTTGCTACAAAAAGAGGCACATTCACATTGATTAGTCATTATAGCTATGCCAAGTCGAATTCTCCAGCCATCCAAATATTCGGAATGTCTTCCAGGGCTTCACCAACCTGTTCTGCAGCTGTGCTCCCTCAAGCTCATCGTCTTGTGGTATACCATAGTGCCCGTTCATGACATACAAGACTCTGGGATGTTCCTGATCTCCTGATACCCCTGGTTGAACACCCCTCCCCACTCCCAATTCTATCCAATTCTTCCAACCTACGACTTAACCCTCAGCCACTCCCAAAAATTACAACAACGCGGCCACAGCCTACTCTGACATGGTCCTGCCACTCGCAACATACAGTACGTCCAACCAACCCCTGCGAGTCTCGTCGTTCAACCGCGGCACAAAATGGGCTTCTCCACGATGCCGCATTGCCGACCGATGGCGATCCCCGTCAGGGCACTGTCGCCAGTGCAAATGACCGAACGAACGTTGCCCTCCTTCCTGGGAGCAAAAGGCGGTCGAACACTCCGGAGCAAGCAGTCGCCATGAAACTGCTTTTAAACAAATCAGATCATGATAACCAAGGAAGTACCAACAACGAATGCTGAAACAAATAAGCGGTGGATAGCAATGGCGCCACTTTCGAAGGAATTAACACACTTACACCGCTTACCTTTCACCTCAGATGTCCAAACACTCTTCTACAAATTGTTTTTTGGATGTTTTTGGATATGGCGATGATAGGGATAGATAGATAAGAGAAAAGCAGGCTCCACTGCTTTGGCTACCAAAACATCTTTATTTTCGGATCTTCCGAAAATGTGCGCGCTTTTTCTCCGTGCGCGGAATACAGTCACCCTACTTCTGACTGCAGCTCCTATCCATTCCATTCGCTCAATTGATGTGGCTGTGGATCAAATTCTGGATCCCCAATCCCTGTTAGGTTGACTTCCCTAGTTAGGCCCTAGTAGTCTATTGTGTTATATTGTGTTCATCTTCAGTGGTCTCTCCCAGGGCCATGGGCCACTTGCTTCTTAACAAAACACTCCCCTTTCTCCACACTCACCAACCTCGACATATCTCAACATATCCCTTTCTCCACCCTGGGCTAAACCCTGACACAGACACATATAGCACACGTACTAGCACACATGGCACAGCACACGTCCCACGTCCCACACGTCAATTGCCTTCCCATCGCATCGGAGGCTCAGCTGCCGGATGGCCTCTGGCGCCTCCGCTTTCATCTCATTCTGAAAAAGCAAAAGCCCCACCAAGTCGGCCTCCTTCTCCAGCTCTTCCCGGGCCAAGGCACACACCTGTGTGCAAAATGGCTCGGAGTGTCTTGGGGGATTCCCATCAAATTCACGGTGATTCGGGGTGAGGGTCATGAACCAACTCAGGTGGATGTACCTTCTAGCTGTATTTTTTTCTCTCTCTCTCTCTCCCTTTCTCCGTCTTTTCCTTCCATCGGCCATGGGTCTAGTAGATAGATATACGGTAGAGATGTCCGTCCAACAGGAACGAGCAACTCTCTGTGCCGGATTGGACACGCAGAAGGTGGAAATCGGCACGTGTGACAGACTTTTACAATGCATGTGTTTTGGTTGGTGATGTGGCTATCTGACTGGTGCTTAGTAGGGAATGAAGGAATGAGCCCCAATAGAGATTCCTTTGGATCCATTCCCTCAGATCCCTGCGAGTCGCACCAGTCAGCTATGCATGAAGAAGGCATCAAAACGTCGGCCCGGACGTCGCATCAGCTGGGACGTCTGTCAGCTCGGCCTCCTGATGGGTCAGGTCTTGCGGCAGCATCTTGTGGCTCACCCCAATAGTGTAGTAGTTGGCCTGCCAGAGAAGCCCGAACGCAGCCAGCTGCATCCAGACGCAATAAGAGCTGGCCACGCAATAAGTGTTCAGAAAGTGTTCAAAGAGGAGGGTCGGCCGCGGGTCAAAACCATGGACAAAGGGGGATCGTCCGCCGGAGTTGATGGAGCCCTTTCGCAAAAGGAAGAGAACAAGCGGTCTTTAATCCCAAAATGTCCAAGAGCCAGTCATTTCTGAATTAAAAAATCTGAGAGCCTCGCGATGACCCCAGTTCATCTGCTGAAAGGTCTTGAGACCCACCTATCCCATGCCCATGACCCATCCATAGGCCATGACCCGCCTTGGCATATTCGGTGACGGTGGCATCATAGTCGCTGGGGCAGGAGCTGGCTCGAGCAGCTGCTTTGATCTTCTCGGGGCTTCCCTTCAGGAAGACCTCCAAGAAGCCGTCGCGCTCTCCTGGGCTCAGTCCGTCAACCGTTCAAGCGATCAAGGGCGATCGAGCGCCGCGGAGCTCGTCTACCGCCAAAGTCCCGGACAACAAGCTGGTGAGCAACGAAAGGAGGGAATGGAGGGAATGCAGAGCTCTCAGACTCCATTTGGATTGATTCCCTCCTTCCTTACGGCAAGCGCGGTGCAGCGGTGCAGCTGTCGGGGCTGGGGCTTCACCGGCTTCGCTGCTTGCCTCCCGGTCCGGTCCGGTCCCTCTGCTACTCCGAGCGGCTGCGCAGGACCACGCCGCTGGTCATGCTTTGATGATCGAATTCCAACTCCCGCACGGTGACGCTCGCGTCCTCGGGCACCTCACGGGGATGGGATGGCGCATGCATGCGAAAGTGGAGACGCAGGCGCGACGGAAGGGGCGCAGGAAAGGTCAAAGGAAAGGAAAGGGGCCCTTGTTGGACACAGGAGGTCCGAGCAACTGGGAAAGGATCCATCTTGGCCACCTGTTCTTTGTCCAGGATGGTATCTACGTGAGAGAGATCTGAACACGACACTTGACGTAGCGTGTGTTGACAGCTGTGTGGTTGTTGACGCATTCCTGGTCCAAAACTGTTGGATCATGTCGAACATTTCGGTCGCCTTCCATCTTCCTTGGCCTTCCTTGGTCCTCTTCCGTGGGGCACAAGCACAGGAACCAGGTCTGGTCTCTCAGAACAGGTCTCAGACGGTGTTCATTGACGTCCCAGCCATTCCGCCTCATCACCCATCTCGCGCATGCGCCGCAGCATGGCACACTCCAGCTCGTTGCCCACCATGCGGCCGTCTTGCAATTGCTTCACCTCGGGTGGTGACATGGATGTTCAAGGAAAAAATCAGGAAAAGCACCCAAGGCGTGCTAGTGCTACTAGTCTTCATCGATCACTCTAGGGTATTCAACTGAGATGGCCAAAACCAGAAATCCACATCAATCCTCGAGCCTCGAACATGGAAACGGCCACGCGGCCACATGCTCCAATCTGGACATGGAAACTCAATGTGGGACTCGGAAGAAGCCAAGGTTCTTTATCTTTTCTGTGTAGAGGCAAAAAGATCCTACAATCAACATCAATGGATTTCAATTGTTGCACTGAAAAGATCAAATCTTTCTCAGCCGACTGGGAAGTTGAAGACTCAGATGCTCTGAAACCACTGGCTTAAGCCGATCCTTTCTCATCCTGGCTTGGGCGGAGCGGCATGCGCAAGTGACTCCCCCGGCCCTCGGCGGTGCGGGAGGTAAGTCGGTAAGTCATGGGTTGAGTTGGTTCGTGCCTCAACGCCCCACCCAACCCCAGCTCCGCCCCAGTTCCACGGATGCCCCCCGAGCGACCGTATGGCATCGCCGCAGCGCCCGCCACAGGGCCTCGCCGGCCGCGAACGCGCCGTCGGGCGCGCCGTCGAGGCGTTGGCAGCGCAGCAGCTGGGCATCGGCGATGGGATGCCTTTGAACCCGGGGGACGGGCGCGGCGGCGGTGTGGAGATGTGTGGCTCATTTCAGTCCCAAGCAATGTCCCAAGCCATGTCGCAGGAGTCTGGGAAGGCCGATTGTGATCATGTGCTACGCCAAGCTGGGAATACGCCGAGCAAAGGACATATATGACGATGAGATACGGACATCTCATGATCGTAACTCTCGTGGTAGTAGGCATGTGAAAGCGAGGAGTGTCAGGGATTGCCATGCTGGTGATGCGAGTCAAGGCATTCCAAGGCGCACGGCAGCTAGGTCCATACTGGACTTGGTGATGGTGCCCGTCTTGTCGAAAACCATGGTCGAAATCTTGCCAGCAATGGGAATCCTGCTGAGCGAAAGCGATTTCGATGGCTCGCATGTCAGGACTACTGCAGGATGGCAACCTATACTCTTCAACAAAAGCATCCTCCACTGGAGTTTGCAGTATGTTTTGGGGCTCTAGTCTAGAGGGAGTGCACCTATGAAAGGGCCTACAAATCCACCTGATGACAGGAAAGACGCAGCAAAAGCCATGGCGAAGCTGAGGAAACGACATGACAAAAACACAACTCCGTCACCGCCTGTTGGAGTCAGTCCTGCCGGAAAAGCTGAAAATGACTGGCCAGGCCACCCCCGGCTAAATGACAGGACCAAAAACAATGCCAAAACGCTCACCATCTCTCAAGCCTTCTCAAACCAGGAATAACACTCGTCGCAAGACCCCCAGTCCACACACCTCCATCCTTCACGTCAGTCCTCCCTGGCTGAAGGCATTTGATCTGATAGTTCTCGCCATCCGTCAAGCGTTTGGCACTCGCCGACTGCCCCATGACCAAGGAGACGGGGAGCATCGGGTTCAGGGCTCCCACCAAACAGCCTCGAGGAAACCAGGGGTGCAGGGCTACCAGCCGCCCAGCTTCGTATAGATCTCTCTCTCCTCTCTCTCTCTCTCTGTGACTATGCTGGGCTTGACTCTTTCAACTCCCTCATGGAGGCACCAACCAACATCGCCCTACTGAGGAGTCAAAATGGATTTCACTCAAGACCACTGGTACAAAGTGTTACGTGCTCGCTCAGCAGTATGCACGTATTTAAGATCTTCGCGTCCTCAGGGACACGAGCATCTCCCTGGCACCCTTCTCTCCAAGTGGCAGGCAATATTCAAGAACTTGACGACCCATGACCCTTCGTTGACCGAGGTGAACTTCAAGAGAATGAGGACGCAAGCATAAAGGCACATGATCCCATAGACCTGGCTGTGAACGCCGCGAGTTCCGCAACGCCCATGGTTGGGGCATTGGGATTCCCTGTGCGCCCGGCAGCATGTCCAGTACTCAGGTCCAGCTTCCCTCCATCAACCTCAGCCCTCCAGCCACTGCGAGCATCGCACGAGACTACATGGCATCAGGTGCGAAAACACATTCATCCAGGTAGACCTCGCTTGATCCGACTTCTTCGCATCGTTGATCGTTTGGACGGGCTTCTACCTCCGGGCCCCGGACGGGTGAGACCTGTTTCCAGAGTGATGCCCTGTCAGCTCTTGGGAAACATTCATGTTCTTTCTTTTCCTTCTGGCGTTCGGCTTAGAAGGAGAGGTGCTCTTCCAGACTACGTGCCTTCTTGTGCCTTCTCTTGGGATATTGCTGGTATCATGGTCTCACAGCAGGAGTTGCTAAAGCCTTGTTCCTGCCGATGTTTCTAGTCATTTCGATGTTTAAGGATGTTCTTGGTCTGGAGTGGAGTGGTCTTCTTCTTCCTCTTCTTCTTCATCCTCTTCTTCTTCTTCTTAACCCTTCCTCTCGGGTTGGCCAGAGCCTGCCCTTGAGAGACCCTAGTTCCCGCCTGGGGGAGCTGCTCTGTGTACTTGAAGCGGACACTGGCAGGGAAAAGCACCATTCTCACCTGGGGCTCTTAAGCTACCACAACTGCTGGGCCATGGAACAAACATAGGACAAACCCGGCAACAAAGAATTCTTGGCCTTCAATGGTCTGTGCCGTTCGCTTTCGCCTTTGCTTTCTGTTTCAGACACCAAGTGGCCAAGGAGCCGCGAGTGGTCAAGGCGCCCACCTCTGTACAGTAGACCAAGGCACGGTGCTGGTCCTCTGGAAGGCCCTCTGACTCCAGCACGCGCGTGCCTAGCACCGGACAGCGAGCACGTGAAAACGCAGCATGGGGCACCCACGGTGGTCGTGTATATGGTGGATTTGATTTAATCAACCACAATCAATCCCCCCATAAGAGGTTCAAATGCTGTTGTTTTGTTAAAACAGGTTTGAATTCCTCCTTGAATTAGGGTGTGAACCAGTGAGTCTCTTGCGTACAAACCATTTGTTCCTAGGGTTAGACCCGGGATTGAGAGAGTTTTTGTTCACCCTTTTTCACCCCAAGATGTTTAGTCTTGACTTCCTCACCCCCCAAGAGCAGAAGCATCCCCCTCCGCGCACCGGCAAAGACTTTGTTGCTCTTCGGTCTGATCCTCAGGGACGACGGCCGATCCAAAGGACGAGGACGAGGACTTCGAGGACGAGGACGCACCCATCCGTGGTTGGTGACCTGTCACGTGCTGTATTGCAGTATATACGTGAAAGGAGATGGAGAAAAAGAACACCTGGCTCAGGTTTTCGGAGTCCAGATGTGAGTTCATGGTCATCCGTGGGTTGGGGCGAACTGCCATCCACCATGATGTCCGGGATGTGTTCTACCTCTAGTAATTACTTCTACTTCTATGTTTGAGACCTTTTTCCCTTTGCCATGATTCCTTCTTTGGATGGTTTGGCGCGCCTGCCGCACCTGCCCCTGTCCCACCAAAACATGCGCAGCTTCTACAAACGTCGAACTCCGTAGTCAGGCAGTCTATATACGGGGAATTTTCGTTGGAGTATTGGAGTCTCTCCTTCACTTCACTAACCCAAACAAGTACCAGGTGTACCCTCCCCATTTGGAGTGTAGAACGTCTTTATACCCGCATCTTCCTGATGTATTTTTTGGGGCTGCTTCAAACCAAACATAGTTGTTAGGCCGGGGAGGGTCTGACATATCTGTCGTGCAGCACGTTCCGAAACGGCGCCTTCTTGTTTGCACACTTTTTCGGTTGCACGTTCTGAAGGTTCAAAGTGGCAGGCAAACCCATGAAGCGGCAGTTTTCCAGAAAACAACTAAAACCACATGAAGACAAAAATTAGTTGAGTTTCACACAGCAACAACAATTGTACATGCCCGGGTGTCTTAGGTATTGGTGATTTTGATGTGATTCTATTTCTCAATCACATTAGACGGATGGTGGCAGAAATCTGGTCTGTCCAAAAGCCTGGAAGCGTCCCCAAAACCATCTCAGAGATTCTCAGAATCACCTCACACAGGCCTGGCGGCCGAAACCCATGGTCTGTTCGAAGCAGGAGGGCTTGGTCGAGGTCTTACAGATCGACACCACAAGGTCCAACACCTCGCGGTGACCTGGCATGACTCGATGACCCCACCCGCGGTGTACGCGGTACGCACGACGCACCGCAGACCGCAGGTGGGTCATCGCGCGACTCGGTGGGTCACTCCGAGCCCAGGGACTCGTCACTCTCGATGGGCGTTTTGGCCACAGGCATCGGCTCGCCTCGCTTCTGCGGCGGGTTCCTACCTTCCAGTTGCCTCTGTGAGAGATGACCCAAGTAGAATCACTGAGAGCGTTTTCATGTGAAAACATGACAATACCATAAAATACCAGGAGTCACCAAGACGGGATGGTTTCTAGTCCCATCCAGTGCGTGGAGTAGCTAGGCGCCCCTATCCTCCATGAATAGCTACTAGATGCTATTAGGTTGGAGGCCATCGCTAGTAGGTTGGAGGCCATTGCCATTAGAATGCCATGACTATTAGGCTCCCTTCCATTCATCAACCGTTAAAAGGCCCATCTGGCAACTGGTGCCCGCCTGTGAGCATGGATTCGTTGACGATGAGGCTACCACTGATGAGCAAACCATCGCAGGGAAGCTCCACGTCTCGTCCTGAGCAAGCCGATTGCCAAATGCAAATAGTAACAAAGGGCATCGCTACGAACGGATCAAGGACGCTACTAGGGGCTCCTGGCCTTACTACTAGGAGCCAGAAGCTCCTGGGAGCAAAGGGCATCGCTACTAGTAACAAAGGGCATCGCTACGAACGGAGAAAGAAGCTACTAGTAGCATTGCAGTAACTATAGTAGTAACAAGCTAAAGACTATGTCATATTGGTCTCAGTGAGTCGTTTTCTCTACGTCCAAATCGGGGGGTTCTCTGGATCCATCCGCTTCTCCACACCGACCGGGGGCAGATCGCAGCGTTCATGGACCCTCAAGCGACTGCACCTGACTGCTGATGGGACAGATCTCCAGCTTCGAAGTGAACCCCATGTGACTTCGTGCTCCATCTTTTTGGCGGAGCATGAACAGCAGGGTGCTGAAACGAAACTGGATTTTCAGAATGGGTCACAACATGTGACAATCTCTCCTCTTCGTGGGGTGGCCAACACCCTTCTGTGGCTCTAGCGTTAATATATCTTAAGATCCTTAAGGGAAATTATATAGACCCCCAAATAGATAGAAAGGTAGATCCCAACTAAAAATTAAGAAACATGTATTGGAAACCGGCTCTATCTTTGAACCGGGGACCACTACAGACACCAAGTCCACATCAGGCTTTAAGGACCCACCTAAAGTGCAGTGCAGCTGCCAGCATTGACTTGAACGATATCTCCCAAAGCCTGAGATGATCCAAGCTCCGTCGACCGACCAGTTTGGGAGCTCAGTCGAGCTCCATTCTCCCGAAGCCTAACTATATAGGTCGAGCAGAACTCAGTTGGCCAAAGGGACCAGCTGCGGCAACCCCACAGAACATCCAGTGATTCAAACCGTTCCCTGAGATCTGTGTCACACTCGGTAGCTAGAAACTAGTGAGTACCCCCGAAACCCTGGCAGTTTTGCCTGCTTCCCTCAGTCATGGCGGGGAATGATGCTGCAGAACACGTGACGAGTCGCCAGATCCACTCATCAAAAAAAAGGAATACGTCCAATCTATGTCAACCACACACCAGGCGGCGGACCTACAGAACGATGTATATATCGGGATATATATATATATATTATGTATATACTGTTATGTAGTAAGAACCACTCGGCAACTACCGAAAAACTTTAAACCTCCGGTAATTCCATTCAGAGCGATACAAACCATCCAGATTGGGCCAGCTCAGTCATGCCACCCCCACGACACAAGGTGTAGAGTATGGAAAGGTTCTCATATTCTCAGATCCTTCAGCCAATGTTCCCTATTCCGGGAGGTGGCCCGGTAGTGAAACAGGCGGCAAAGCGGGTACTCTGAGGAGGCCCACAAGGAAAACCAAAATGTACAAGCCACCCGCAATGAGTGCCGAGGACACGGTGAGGTCACTATCTCAACCAACTGGAGGAGATAGGGATTTCCACGAGCCGCGCCCGTGAGAAGAAAACCCCTCAAAGACATGACCAGGAGAAAGCCTATGAAAGACCCAAGAGCAGCTCAAATCCATAGAGCCATAGAGCAAGCTGGAGAAAAGGATAGGAGGAGACAGCAATGTGCTGTAAACGAGCCACTATCTCTGTGACATCCACATCCTTGTACTTCCCCTCGCGCAGCACACTGCAGGTCTGATGCACACGCGCCAGATTCGCCACCTTCCAACACAGCGGTTTGACAAAATCTGAGTTGTGTGGTCCAGGAAAATTACCAGCGTGTGAAGTTTGGCAGTCTAAACAAGACTTCTTCCGACTATCATACCCGCAGCAATGACACCCTGTTGAAATCCATTCCCCTGGAAATCATTGGAAATCTATTTCGTGGCTAACCTTCCAGGGGAAGCTTGAGACATGTATCAGTATTATCAGTATCAGTGAGAACCACTGTTAGAGTTAGAACCACATCTCCCCCAAGCAACCCAGGTTTCAGCCGTCTTGACCTGGTCAACCCCACCTTCTTCTGGTTGGGCCTCGTGATGCCCAAGGCTCGGTAGAGGCCAGAGCCCAAGGTCATCAAGAGCCATAAAAGGCCGATGTTCCAAGTGGTGTAGCCTCAGCTTTGATATCTGGTCATAGTCTGAACTGGTCTCAACAGCTGGGACGTGATGGTGAAGGCGACGGTTCGGCTTGGCTTCGGTGTCTTTTGAGGTCGCAATCCCCGGCTCCAGACTCAGGGCAAAGCCTTTGATCGTGTGCGTATGTGTGGTATCCCAGACTTTGGGAATGAAAACCATGGTTTCTTGTAGATCTTCCCTTACACCACTTCATTGATGGGATCTTCAGCTTGAGAATAGGTGCCTCGAATGCCTCGCTTCCAGCTTTCGACCTCGAGCCGGAGGTACGGAACATCTGCATCGTCACCGTTGTCACCTGATCGGTCTTTTGTGGTACACAGACTCGGAGGTGGTCGGACATGTTGAATCACACAGGTCTGCAGGAACACTGCAGTCTGCATGGTTCTGCTCGTTCTTGGGCACCTGAGGTGTCCAGTGAGCTGCTTTCGGCATGCCGCATGTGTGGCTTGGCCCGACTCTGTCGCGGTGATGGTCCGGGTGGATGGTTCCGTTCCCCCATTTCATCATTGCATATCCTGTGTCTACCCCTTTCGATGGGACAGGCCCAGGGCTAGGGACTGATTGCCATGGAGTTTAGAACTAAGTTTAGACTATCTTAGATTGTGATCATGAACTGCTTGCAATTTCCACCCCTCACGTGCCATTCCCGGTCATCCAAGAAGCCGATATAGATCCACACACCAAAGGAGTTGAAGATATAGGTGAAATGTGAGAACTCCTCAGGCCGGTGCACCCACAGAACTGTTCCAAGTGCCCAAGTGCCAAAAACAGCTAAGCTTAGCATCCCATAGGCCTTTTCTCTTGTGGGGTGATGTGGGATAAGCTACAACACCTTTCTAGAGCAAACTCACAAATTCATGCCATTGCTCCATGTTCCCCAGCTCATAATGCTCACATGCACCATTATACACCTCAAAAGCTGGTCCGTTGCACAACCATCATTAGCTCCCACCGCCCCCACCAATGCCCATCCCCAGCATCCTCCTGTATGTTCCGACTACCGGAATTTTCCCTGGGAAGACAAAGAAGTTCACCTTTTGCCATCTGCACATATTACAGTGGTGTTCAGAGTAGATGGCGCTGGCACCCCTACATGTCGTTTAGACGGGGGGGGTCGATATCAACCTCCTCTTGGGGGCCCTTGTGCCATCTACTCTGACACCGTAGTATGTAGTTGGGAAACCTACCAATCCCCAAAAAGGCAGGTGATCCAAAGACTTCCCTCCTCGGTCGATACACCGAGGCACCTTCACCAAGGCTTCGAGCCTCCCCGGCACCCGCACGTGGATCGCATTGGGCCCACTGCGCTCACGACTCTGCAGCGCCTCCGCTTCTGACAGACCACCTGGCAGAGAGAGAGAGAGAGACTCCGGGCGGCCGAGTCTGATCACTCTGTGACTGTTTAGCTTTGGGAGCCGAGTTTGTTCCCCAGGAAGAAGTCCAGGCAAGTTGTTTTTGGGACACCTCAGTCTGTATACATGTCTATCCCTCCAGCTCTACTTACAGAGGTGAGGAAAAAGCGGTTTGTAAGGGAGATGTGCTCCTACCAACTGAAGCGCTCAAAAGCTTATCCTGATTAATCATGGTTGGGCCCAGAATCGAACACATTCGTGTGTCCGGACGTGGGGCACGTCAAACTTGGCAGGTGGTTGGCTGGAAGTACTAGTACGCTTCCCGATGCCCAGACCATATATGTATGTGTGAGATCCACCGAGATTCAAAGTTGATCAAAAAGAGAAGGACCCTCAAAGGTGAAGGTTTTGAGGGTCCAAACCCCTGCTATGCAGGGTCTAAACCCTCCATAGGAGGGTTGAATGATTCTTAGGGTTAATCAAAAAGACTAGACATACAAAAACAGGTTCATCTCCAAGTGGCCCCTCTTTCTGAGCTTGAGGATCTCCGACGGCTGCGGCCGCAGTTGCCCAGCCGGCACAAAGGATTGGGCACGGTCGCAGTAGGTGTAGCGCACGCACATGTGCTCGACATAGCCTGTGGTTGCACCGGGTGAGTTCGTTTTGGGCTCCAAAACAACACTGTAATTGAATCAACGTACGAAGTATGGCAGAGCTTCATAACAATATAATGATACAAATGGCCTGCAAGAAGTCAGTTGAGAAAGAGACATTGCGCGCTACCAATGCTATTAATCCAAATTGGAAGAGGCTAAGCCTAAGCATTCATAAGCATCCTGGATGAGCTCTTCTGCCATTTCATCTCTGCAGTCCCAAGGTACGGCGACCCTCCTCCGAGCAGATCGGCAGGACCTCCGTGGCCTGCGACGGTCCCAGGTCACCAGAAACCAATGAGATGATTTCCCACGTTTCCCCAGCCATTTCCGATGTCAACGAATTGATCCATGGCCGGAACAACCATTGGTTTCTGGTTGCTTGGGCTTCCAGGAGGGTGAAAAATAGGGAGGCCTCCCAAAAGATGACCCTCCTGGAAGAAAGAACATTGACCAAAATTAACCCATTGGTCCAGGGTGTCTCCTTGACGTTCTTTGACAAACCAGCCGGCACTTTCACCATCCACCAGCTGTCGATCAATCTCGTGCGAATTTCTTGTGCAAATGGACGAACAAGGAGCTCGGAGCACCAACAGCACCACCTTCTGACTTCATCTTAAGTCCCCACTTGTCTGTCACGTTTTTCCACCCTTCTTCCGGTGCTCTCCGAATTCACTGGCCTGGACTCGCTTCAGGTAGCGCGACAACGCCGCGCAGCGTTCCCCGCAGCGTTCCCGCAGGCTCGGGGACCGCGCGCCGCGGTGGTGTCGACGCCGCGTGGTGGCGCGGGGCCCTTGAGGACTGAGTGGACCAGTGCCTGAAGAGGATGGATATGGATGGATGGATGATGAATGAGGTCGTTTGAGGTGACATGAAGTGTGCAATTTATGGCGTTAGTTACAGTAGTTGAATGGGTGTTAGTGGACATTTCGAGCTTCTGTGAGCGAAGGGTTCGAGCATCCGACCAGTCAAGTCGTGCCATGAACTGTTTTATTATATGAAATATGAGGACCCATGAGGACCACCTCATGTTTTTGGAGGAAATGGTCACGGGTACGCATTTGATAAACCTCCCCCCTTTCAAGAGGAAGATGAGATACCAGAATAAACCAGACAACTTGGACCAAGCAGGGAAAACGTGGCAAGTGCCTCCTAAAGGCTCGGGAGCCAGGAATTCAGAAAAAAAAACAGAGTAGATGCGCACTCTTCTGCAGTGGGAACTGCTGCGGGAGACGTCAACCGGAAAACTGGCATAACCTGGCAACAAAGGAATCAACCTGCTAGGCTGACCGGAGTGAATCCCGCTTTTTTCAAGCCAATTTCCGGTGACCCCTGAGGATCTGAATTAGTTGTCTGGGTGTTGTCTTGAAGACGAGAAAGTGGCTGTTTCTCTTGCCCTTGTTTTTCTGTAGCATTCTTCTTTGCCTGGTTCGTTTTCTTCCTGGACTTGTTCTTCGCTGTCCGTGTTCTGCTTGTTGTCCTTAATGTCTAGCAACTCCACCGCGTGCAACAGCCGCTCGGTTTCCTGTGCGACAGCCGTTTGCTGTGGCCGAACTCCCTCGCCTGCGTCGTGCACCTCTTGAATCATCAAATGAGTGGCCTCTCGCCTGGCGCATGGCAGGGACGTACGGGGCATGACAGGGGCGACGTGTTGATTTTGTGGCATTCCATCTTGGTTTGGGGCGCTATTCCGGAGAGATCGCCTACAGCCCGATTCCGGCAACGAAAAAAAACATAAAAAGGCGCGTATACTGAGCATTGCCAGGTCACATGCTGGTGGCCGGCAGCATGGTTTGCGATTTGATGGCGTCCCAAAAGATCAGCACCAGTCCCAAGAGCAAGTGGCTGAGGACGAAGACCACGCACCAGGGGAACATCACACCTGCGGAGTGAGACACGACTGGACACGACCAACGCGGAAGAGATAGACCTGCTGACTTCAAATGTGGCTGACTAGGGACTTGATGTGTTGGAGCAAAGAGATTCTCGGGCACCATAACATGGACCAATTAGATTAGATGATTAGATGATATTGGGTTACCAGGACTGTTACCAGGTGCCACATATTGAATGCCACTTGGTACGGACTTCCACCTCCCCCAAAAGCGGCCACCGAGTCCAACGAAAACCCAAACGACTCCGCACTCGTCCGCGCCGTCCCAGGACTCGAAGATGCTTCGCCAATACTCGGCGCTGGGCGGGAAGTAGAGGTCCGCGAAGATGGCGTAGCCGATCCAACAGCCCACGACCACCAGCACATAGCCCACCATGAGCCTCGGGCGAGGGGGCACCGCGTGAAGGAGAGGAGACATTAAGGAGGAGGCACCGCGAGGAGGAGGAGGAGGAGGGGTGATATATATATATATATATGTTGATATTGATGATGATGCACTGAAACGAAATTCGCTTCATGCACTTCAGAAGACACATCGCCATGAACAAGTTCAAGGCTTCCCCCTGTCTTTGTTTCATGCCCTTCACTACAAGAACCCTTGGCTACGCACATGAATCACATGAATCAACGGTCATCTGAGCTTAACCAGTTCACCCCCTGACATCGGTTCTCAAGCTTTCAACATGAAGTGCAGCAATTGTCTCCACATCAGCATCCCAAGTGAACACATGTGAACACACAATCCAATGCAATAATTGAGACTCTCGAAGCTAGGCATCCATAGATCATTACCCATCTGCACTGCAATGACTAGATTGCAAACCTTTCCGCTACCACTCCCATGGTCATCGCTTGACTCTAATCCCCCTGATGACCCCCCAAAAAAGGCCCACGCCGAGGGGCGCTGCGGTCCAGCAATGCATCACCGCGTAGCCTACACGACTGGTGCGGTAGCCGTACTGCATGAAGTGCCGCGCTTCGTCGGGGTGGTGGTTCTCAAGGTCCGACTTCACCACCTTCCCTGCCAGAGACAGATGGCTCGGAAAAAAGAATGGTCTGATGAAAGGTGACCCAAAAAAAAAGTGACCCAAAAAGGTGAGGCCAAAATCGTGTCGAACTGGACTTCTGGATTGAGAGTGTCGCCCCGAAACGACAAGGAGAAAACGCTCCTGAGAGATGGAGGGATTGTTAGAAAAATGGTGCTCCAATGGCACAAGTCCCATTTGGCTTATTGGTCTGAGCGATAAAAGTTGCTTGGGAACAAAATTGCCCAAACTATTGAGATTCTCCGCCAAATGGTGGTCATACATGGCACAAGGGTTGCCATTGCCGCGTGTGGGTATATCACATCGTATATATATATATATATATGTCGATATAAATATATAATATATATAGTAACAAACATATACTAAGACTATGATATTGATATACCCTTCCCACTTTCATCCACCTTCAGAACAGTTCCCTTCTCTTTCCCCGCTCTCACCTTCTCGCTCCAAGCGCCGTTTGTAGATCTGCCGCCAGGTGCACCACGCGCCGGTGGCCCCGCCAATTGCACTCAAGACCGCCAACTGCGCGTGGACCAGGGTCCAACTGATCTTCGGCACGTCCATGGCAGAACGTCCCAGCGTGAGACAGGTAGGCTAGAGGATGTGGAGATGGGCGGTCGCTTCTGTGGAGCTTGCGTCAATCAGCTCTCTTTGCTGCACTGGAGATGAATCCTTGTGCTGGTGTGACTGGAGTGGGTCCTGTTGGTACGAAGGACTTCAAGGTGGTATTGGTAAGACTGGTCAAGTCCAGCGATGGAACCCAAGTAATCTGGCTTGTGAGTCCTTACGGTACTTTCGTTGGTGGGTTTGCAGCGTTGGCTGCATACAGATCCACTTCTGGGCTCCCTGGTCTTGTTGGCAACGACTCCTCTGCGCTGGCTGCGCCAAGTGCTGCGCTGGCATCTCCTCTCCGATCCTCATCTTTGAGCCTTGAAAAATGAAACGACGATGCATCTGGCGGTGCCATTCTTAGGTAGGAAAAAGGAATATCAATGAGAAATCTATAGAAATCGAAGATCCACTGGAAAGAAAGCGGTCCCCCACAAAAGGAAGGGCTGTCTTTGGACCCATGATGAATGTCCAATTGGGATACGAGGAAGACTGCCTCATGCCTCGTGGACCAACATCTCTTCCACATCATTAGCTATTTGCTACTAGTCTATAGTAATGCCAGGAGCTACTAGTAGCTTCTTGCTACTAGTAGCAATGCACAGCAATGCACCTTGTTCCTAGTAGCGTCCTTGCTACTCATGTACTTCTTTTGGCAGCTGACCACTTCGCCCCTTCAGGCGACCTGTACAACCTCAGCCAGCCACGTTCTCCCAACGCTTGCGGCTGGCGCGCCACCCTCCACACACTGGAAGGGGTGGGCTGTGGCTCACTGAAGCAGCAAGCTAATGCGGCGGGCCCGCTGGCCTCTCAAACATTCCTTGCTGGCGCACGAACCGGCTGGGACCCCACCAAAGAAAAAAACAACAGCCAAGTATTATATAACTAAGTATACAGTAAGTGCCAAAAAGTCCTTGCAATCTAGGGATGCAGTACGTGTAAAGCACCAAAATCTTCTCTTATATTGTCCTCCCAGAGTCTTCAGGAGACAAACTGACATCTCCCTCAACTCACCAGGCAGCGCCGCTCTCCATCAGACCCCGATGCACCATTGGATCGAGCAATGACCTGCTCCCAAATGCCATCCCAGAAGAGTAGCTCGTAGTCCTGGGTGACTCAGAATTTCTGGCACTTCTCACTTATCAATTGCATGTTTGGCACCAAACATCACGCTGGAAATCCAGCTGGACAGCGGGATATCGACTATACATAACATCCACGACGTGAAGATATCAGCAGTTGGTCTTCAACTGGTTCTTCTTCCAGTCCCCGCCATCCGGACTCCTGTAGAAGCCGCACGGAACGTCTCAACTGGGCATAGCTCACTTCCTCTGCACCCGCTGCGCTAAAGACTTCCTCCTGGCTGCGGTCTGCGGGAGGAGTTTGTCAGACTCTTCTCTGCTCAGGCACAACCATCAGGTTCTTCTGGGGAAGTGGAACGAAGCGAAACCAGCTACCACCACAACGAAGAATAAGTAGTGACTTCTTTCCTAGCATTCAAGTCTCTTGAAAGCCTCTTCAGGATTCCCCCCAGAAAACCCACGTGCCCGTCCTGGAGAGCTGGATCAACCAGGTCCCGGGATCAACACGGGTGATCCCCCCAACCTAGCCCCAACCTCTCCCCGGGTCTCCACCATCTCTCGCAGCTGAGGGATCGGCTCTGCAAAGAAGTCCAGGAAACCCAAGTCCTCCCCGGAGAAAAACGCGGCAGTGCCAAGAAGAAAACGCTCCGTTTGGGAACTGGCTGGCAATTGGGGTTCCAAAGACCTTTTTTGAGAAGTTTCTTGGACTATGTCTGGGAGGGTGTCCAACTATTTTGTGAAGATGTTCTTGTGAGCGTTTGGGATTGTACAATGTGGGCCTCCACAAGCTTCTACATGGTGTGTTCACCGGGGACTTGCAATCACCAAATGGTATGGAAGAAATGGAAAAAGAATGATGGAAGGAAAGAACCCCCCACATAGTTGCAATGTAGAGAGAGAGAGGAAAAAATGAAGAAGAAAGAGAAAGAGAAAGATCCAGAAAAATAAAGAAAGAAAGAGAGAGAAAGAAAGAAAGAAAGGGAGACGGATGGAGAGGGAGAGGGGCAGGGGGCACAAACATGCCTGTGCATGCCTGTGAAGTGATCGGCTGGCAGACTGGCACAAGTCGGACACATCCACGCCCTTCCCTGGGCAGTGGATGCCGCATGAACAGCTGTCCAAGCAAAAGCATCGTGTAGATGAGAAGAATCCAGATTTTACAGGGTGGGTGAGGTCATGGCGTCCACTTTCGTGCCAAAGAAGGGGCAAAGTGCTTCCGTCAAATGAGTCCTCCTTCTGATAGCCATAATGCAGGATCAAGCTGTCCCGCAAAATCCCACACATCTGGCCCCAAGCAGGAAAATTCACGTGAAAGGCAGCAGCAGCCACCAGCGGCGAATGAAGCGTGAGGATGGTGCAGAAGCAGCTGGGATAGGCCTCACGTGCGGGGCTGCTTAGGTTCGGCTCTCCAAGCGCCAATCGCCAACGCACACCAGTCGAGACTGGTGTTCAGTCGAATGGCGATTGGAAGGGCATTCCAAGGAATTATATACGACTATGTTACAACGTGAAGGGAAAAAGGGGATCCATGGTCCATCACAAAGTACACAAAGGAATGGTGGGACATGGTGGGACCTCCCTTCGTTGCAGAAACACCTCCACCTTCTGCAGCCTATGTCACATCTATGTCATGTCTCTCTCGCAGTCAAATTCAATAACACCTGACCCCACGAATCCACAGATCTGAAAAAGATCTGAAGAACGACACCGCCACCTTCTTCTCGGTGGCCAGTGCAGTTCAGCCGTGCGTGTTTGTTTGTTGTTCGTTTCGTCGTTGGGCCTGGCATTTGGGATGTGGAACATGGTCTTCCAGACTTTCGGCACTGAGACCCAGCATGGAACACATCTTCTGGTGCTCACCCAAGGCGAACTCCTCCAGGACGGACAGCAAGACGGGTCCCAGCAACCGCTTGGCGACCGCTTGGGCGACCGCTCGTTGAGTCGAGGGCTAACAACTTCGGTCTGGGTCGGTCGGTTTGCGTCAAATCCAGTGGTGAGGATTGAGTTTGCATGCGAAGTTGGATTCTCTACTCTTTCCCCACTGGCAGCTATTTGAGTCTGTTTCACGCCAAGCAGGCAAACAAGCATCAACGCCGCAGTTTCTGTGTTTTCAAGGTCCTCGTAGACACTGACCGTAATACAGTAAGTGTGAGGCAACTAACCGATGACCAATGATTCATCAATCAAGTGTCTTCCTACCCTACCTACCCTCCACGCTGTGTCTCACACGACCGGTTCGGGCAGGACGCTCGGAAGGGCCCAGGGCCGGGCTGGACCGGTGTCCTCCCGTGCAAGCAAGCTCGCGCGGGCGGTCGGACGTGTCAGGTCCTCGCCAGCTCGGAAGAAGTCCAAGAATTTTCTGTAGCCCTCCACATGCTGGTAGCGCTCACAACTGTGCGTGAGAGTCCTCCAGATGTCAATGTTCAGAACTCTTGGATACGCTTCCTCGATGGTTAATTCAGCTTCTGTGAAGAAGTAGTCAGTAGTTGCAAGCAGGCTTGGATCACCATCCCCGGGAAAAAAAAAGAGTGTTTTGGGCGCTCGTCTGCACCGACGACGAGTCGAGCGATCATGCCAACGTGTGGAGTCGAATGTCTTCAGGATCCCACCCGCAATCTGGAACAGGTCCACTATGGTCATCTATGGCCCACTCCTACAACACCCTAGGCCCCATCCAAAACACAGTGCAGGCCCCACCCCTAAGGGCCCCTAAGTACCAAAGGTCCTGAGATCGCTGTTGCACACAAAGTACTGCCTCAGATGGCGGCGTGCATAGTCTTACAAGCAGGAGGGAGTCTTGTGCCACACATCGAGCATCACAAACCCAAAACATGGCGAGCTTGCGAAGAGGTTTACTACACCTGGCCTATGGGGTGCGCTAGGCCTACGGTGTTCTTTTTTCCGCGATCTGGCTGCCTATTTCTGTGGCCTAAACGGCCAGTCGTGCTGCACAAAAGAATCAAAAAAGAGAAACATCCAGGAGTCACAAGACGGGGTTGTTTTTAGTCCCATCCAGTGAGTGGAGTAGCTGGGCACCCCAAGCCTCCATCGGTCGCACCTCGTCTTGTGACTGCTGGAAGATCAACATTCAGATCCATTCAGATGTGATTTGCTGCGCCGACCCGTCGGCTGCTCCACGTCGATGGCGTTCGCACCAGGCGGCTCATGCAAGAGGGTCTTCAGCAAGAGCTCTGCCGACCTGGTTGGTGGGCTCAAGTCACTTGAAAAATGCAAGTCCATGATCCCAATTAAAAGGTTAAACATTTAAACCTGAAATGCGTATATTTTAATAGGGGGATCCCCCGCCAATTCTTCCAGGGGGTCGAACTGGGAGGTTTCCCTACTCTATCTAGTACACACCCCATCCATCTGGGCTTCAAGCAGCAGCGATTTGCTGGTTTACAGGTCCTGTTACAGGTAAGTGCAGATAGACACAACATATACATACCCGTTATAACCCCTGGTCCTAGCTCACTCTTCCAGTCCCAAGTCCGGTCTGGGATTGGTGACGGTTCTGTTCTGATAGACCCAAGCCATATCCCAAAATCACCAACCAAGCGACTCTTTGGGCAGAACTCCTGCTCTCAGATCGCGCAAAACCTCGTGCTTCATGAGCCGCTCCGCCACTTCCTGTCCCCAGCTGGGTCGGACGCATCCGTGCGGGGACAGGAAGGGCAAAGGGGGTTGTGTGACCCACACCTTCTTGCCATCGATTCGTGGTGCAACCCCTTCCCGCAGACTAACATGGACCCTGAAAGCCTCTTGGTTGCAAAGGACCATACACATTCGGGATGAATGTTGCTTGCTGCAGAATCATTGGAGACCAGAAAGAATCCACACCGCCCTGCCAACAAAAACACCCCGGCCTGGGTGAAGGGTTCCTTCTCCAGAGCTTTCAGAACTCCATCGCAGTCCTCCAATGCCCACGCTTTCCACCAGGGTTGGATCCGGTTTGGGGGGAATCAAGACCTCCGGCTCTCTATTGTCGCAACTGGATGCGCCCACGCCCCCACCCCAACCACCATTTTAAAAAATAACCATTGTCAACAGCCTTCCCGTAGCAGCATGTCGTTGTTTCACAAGCTTCCAAACACCTGGCCAAGTTACACCCGCAAGGCTCATGGCAGTGCAATGGCCAAATCGGTCAGTTGTGTTGGAGGAGTTTGAGCCAGCTTGCGAGAACAAACAACTGTAAACAGAGGCCTCTGCATTGGCTCTATAGGCTTTGCCAAGAAGTTCACAGTATGTCTACATCTTGGGTTGATCTGCCAGAACGGTTTGCGAATTGGACACATCCCCGTTGGCTGCTTGTCATTTCCCTCACTCACATCTGCTACATGGTCTGTCTTGGAATGACTCTGCGGAACTGAAAGCCTTACCTCCCATGGTTTTACCATATTTATCTTATTTCACCTCGACTTGGGAATCTGTACTGATGCCTGATCTCCACCAGGCAGGAGCCCCAAAAGTATGAACCTTTGGAAGGTCCGGCCTGAAATGGGGATCATTTAGGACCAGGCCCTAAACCCTAAACCCGCGACTCTCTTTTGGGACGATGCATCTCAGCAGGCCCGGATTGGACTCGTCCATCTCAACCATCACGAAGGGCACCGCCCGCAGCAAGGACAACACCGCCGTCCGCACCACCGACAGGCCACTGCGGTGTTCGCCGTGGCCAGTGATGATATGCAGGATCCTCAGGCCGCGTGGCACGAACTGGCCCCCAAAAGCTGAAATTCGATAGCTCAGTTCTTGCGACTGGACGCCCGGTAGCACCTGGGACCTCCTGAGGTCAGCGCAGATGGTGAACCCAAAGTGGGTGAACCCCCTGCTTTAGGCTGCTGGCACCGAAAATATCACTCCTTCTCATCCAAAACCCGCAGTTTCCGTGGCACCGACCTTTCCGCAGTAGCTTGCGGCCGGGGGGGAGACAAGTCCCTCCAACGGCCCCCATTCCATGTGCCAAACAAAGAAAGAGCAAGCAGTTTGAGGAACCCACAGGAGACACATGAAGAAGCACCCAATCATCCCAAAAAGTTCTGGTAAGCTCGTATTCAAACCGCCATCGCCAGTTGGCAATTAGATTCCAACATGCAAGTCCTGTCGTCACATCAGAACTCCCACGCCCATCCATCGTCACCTAGCTTCGTGTCGTCTTCCTCCTGTAGCTGCTCTAGCTCATCTAAAGTCACTTCCACCGCCAGCAGTGCAACCTCCACCGGCAGTTCGTGCAGGTCGATGGTGTACAAGTTTCGCATTTGCGGATCCCTGCAAATAGGAAGAGGCGCATGGAACCGGAGTGCTGAGAAAGGTGAAGAACATCTGGAGGATGAGGAGGAAGGGAGAAGGGCAGGAGTCAGAACAAGGATCTGGCGAAGTGTGACAACATCTGCTGGGACTCCCATGGGCTCCCCGCATGCGATGCTCAGCGGACCCATCACGACCGATACCTTGTGGGAAGCACCGTGTGGTGCAGGGATCTCTTCCTGAAAGGGTCCGCGTGTCTGTGGGGTGTGGGAACCGTCAATCACCTGTACAGGTTACAAGCATCCCCAACCCGCCACGCCTGCGCATGTGCACGCGCACAGGACTTTCCAAGTAGAAGCGCTTCGCTAAAGAGCGGGTTCCAGCACAAAGGGCTAGGAGAGTGGTCATCCAGTCGACCTCACAGGTGGAGAGTAGATGGCACAAACCCCAATCCCCAAAAGGTTGTTTATGCGAACCCCCTACTCTGAAACCCCTGTAAAACGTCCGGGCCATGCAGGTTGCTGCTTTTTTTATTCGTAATGAGGGGACTCTCTGAGTGACTGAGGCGATGAAACAATGCTCATATCATCTTACATATGCTACCCTTGATGTATGATGTGCCATATTTGGTTTGACACGTGGGGCTGATACATGTGGACAGCCTAGTAGATGTGATTCCGTGTGCAAACGGGGGATGGGTTGGGTATATTATAAACATAATATCCGAATCCCTGTAACCGTGGATGATGGTTAATAGAGGCCTTTCGCTAAATAGGTGACAGTGTTGCTTGTTTACCGACGGTTGCAGGTAAATGGGACACCCCCGATGGGGTGCTTCCTCTATGCCCCGTCGCCCGGTGAGGTCGGCGCCTGGCTCTGTTGGGTCTGTGCAAAGATCCCCAGCGCCGCTTCCCAAAGGGCTACCTCCACACAAATGCGATTTGCCAGTGTCGAGGATCAAGCTATGAGTGGTGAGTATTGTATGGCTCTAGGATACTCTAAGTATCTCTAAGTCAAAGCTTGCCACCAAAACAGCGGGGGTTCCCTACTGCGGTCTGGGCGTTTGAACCCAAGAATCAGTGCTCCTCTGCATCTGCCGGGAGAACAATAATAGAAGGATTTTGCTGGTACCCTGCATGGTTATTCTGGATCTTCCTCAACGAGGGGGAAGCAGGAAATAATATCTGCAGGATTGAACATGGAGGAAGGGAAGGGAGGGAACTATCTTGTACCTCCCTGAGGTTTTGAAGGCTGCAGTTTGCATGTGGTCTTGAGGGAAGGATGTCTTGAGGGAAGGATGTTGAAGGCTTCAGAGCCCACAATGGGACATATCTCTGATAGACTTGGCCCAGGCCAAGAACCCCACCCACTTCCCTGACGTCATCCCCGACATGGCCCCCGACCTTCTGGTAGACGCTGATGAGCGCGTTCGCCACATGCGCTTCTGCGCCAGAGGAGGCGAAGAGCGCCACGGCGTATTGCCAGTGTGGAGCTCCAGCTCCACCTGCAAAGATGGTGGGAAGCTCCAGTTCCCAAGAGACGTGCGCCCAGCCAGGGGGTGATGGCGGCCACGCGTCGAATCATTTGTTGAAGTATATCCCAAACACCCCATGCATAGCTTATGAGTACTGTATGGCATATTCACCTACATGGACCCCAGAAACCACCCCCATGTATGTACATCCATTTCCCTGCAGGGTGTCAGTATGGTTCTTTGGTCCAACCCTGAGACCACTCACGGACCGATGGCGAGTTCGTTCAACGGTTCAACGGGTCCACCCGTGTTCAGTCGGCGGAGCAGCGGGTCGATTCATGGAGGAGGGCTACTTCTGCCACATGCGTGGCGTGGGTTGTGCGTCTTTTCTTGTGTCCTCTAAGGCCCATGTCGCGGTTTCAACGGCTTCCGGTGTGTCATCCTGTTTCTATAGCAGGAGCCAGTCATTTCGGAGCAGTACTGATGGGGGGTCTTGCACATGATACTGCGCTGCTGATGGCTTTGGGGTAGGAATCTTCACATCCCCACCTCTGAACGCTATGGCGTCCTTACACACACTGATTGCAGCACTGATCCGGTAGGACTCGGGGATCTGGCTGGCACCGGGTGAATGGAACAAGAGGTCCAAGGCTTGTTGCCATTCGCTCTGGAGGCCACCAGATTCCGCCACGGTGACATAGTGATGCCAAGAAGTGTCCTGGAACGCATCGTTCTGACAGCTTTGGAGCAATAATTTCTTCGACCAAGCGACCGAGGTCTGACTCCCTTGGCCGGTATACTGCTGGGTTTACAAAAGATAGCGATCATTGATTGACCGACTAAGTTACTGGTCATGGGACAAACTGATGAACAAACTTCTGCACCACTGCAACCCTTAAGAAAACTTCTTTTGACGACTTGGGAACTCACCAATTCTCGCGCTCCAACCGTGTCTTTCGGATGCCTTTCTTTTTTGCATCGTCCGTGCTTCGCATGTGTATGCCAAGCATCAAGCTTGAAGGCTGTTGGTACTTCAAAGAGGCACCAAAATGCCTCTTGCCAGTGAGAAGCCTTGTTGAAGGCTTTCAGGATGTTGGCCATACTGGCTGCATCGGCTATTCCAGATGACAACATCTCCTCAAAGCCAGGAAGTGGTGGGGTCACCCCACTGCTAAATCATAGATCCACTCATATCCCGATCACGTTCTGTAAACCAAACCTAAAATCAATCTGGCCAAAGCTCTGCAAAAATGCTCAACCCCTGCTTCCACGCGCTCCCCGCCGCACATGCGCCCAGCGCGGCATTCCAGTGTACTGCCGCCAGGAACGGCTGAGGCTTAGCTGCGCGGAGCCCCGCGCTGCCACTGAGGGCTGCCAAGGCTTCGGCCCAGCGATGCGTGCGCTCACAAGCGCTCAAGATGGAGGTCAAGGTCACCTCATTGGGCTCCACCTTTTGCGCCTCCATGGCACCTGCACTGAAAAAGGCACATCTGTGGGCAATTTTGCTTCACCCCCCCTTAAAAAAAGAGGTGGGCGTGGTTTTCGATGTGTTTGAGGGCCGAAGAGGGGTGGATCAGTTGGTTGGGTGACTTTGGGATTGCCGGATCCAAGTCTCAACCATCTCCAGCTACATGGGTGGCTGGGTTATAGATATGTGGAGACATGGAGTAAAGAAGGGCATGGCAAGCGCATGCGCCGCGTTCCCGGGGGCTGCAACAACATTGATCACTTGGCGGCCATCTTCAACCAAGTCTATTCTTCACACCACCCATGAATGGAAACAATATGAAACAATTGGGATAACCATGGATAAACTGCTTGAACTAAAAACATTTGCTGATCACCAAGTTCAGTATCGAACCTAAAATTGTGTAAGCCCCCAAGCAGGTTGATGGCTAGAGGAGTGGTCACATACCAAAAAAGGGAGGAAGTCACATACAAGTGGGCGCCTCAGGGCATCCCAAGATGCGCCTCAGGGCATCTCTTGATGCGCCTCAGGGCATCCCAAGTCTGATTATATACCTTTCCTTGTAAGCAGGGCTAGGGAAGGATGAGAAGGAAAAAGAGAAAGGGTGGAAAGGAGGGAGCACAGGCAAGGAGACGAAGTTCCGCAAGCTGCCAAGTCGCTCAGCAAGGGCCTCAAGCTGTACCCCTCATGTCCAGCGCTTTGGCCACGATCCGCGACCTACGTTGGTGCTCCGCCCCGTGAGGCCAGCAGTTGAACACTTACGGGGTGGCCGCACCCACTACCAAATATTACTGAGTGGCCTGCTCTTTTCTCCTTCTGTCTCTTTCTTTCTTCCATTTCCCACCGCCTTCGAATCGAGTCCTCTCAACTCAACCCGCCCATCTCGAGGTCTCTCTGCACCACCGGACGGGTCTTCTACCTGCATGGCGATGCTGAAGCTGTAGACGTCCCACTGTAAACCACGCTGGTGCAAGCTCCTGCAGTTGGGTGTGGCCGGTGTGGTGGTGGTACCAGATGTTGGGGAAGTGGGGAGCCAAACGCCCTAGACACCCCAAGAGGGTGAAGATGGAGTGGCAAAGAGTGTGTAGTAGAGTGTGTCTTGTGGGAAAGGGGTCTTACAAGGAACCCTACCATCCACTTCCATGTTTGCTGGATTGAGTGTAGACATAATAAAGGGCCAGGGCGGCCAGGCGGCCTGCATGTCTCTGTGACCCTAGTTCCATGTCTTCATCATACGTGCGTCTTGATCCACACCCTGAATGCACAAGGAGGAGTCAACGCGCACCAGGTGTCTACGGAGGAGCTTCGTGGGGGAGGCATTCGCTCAGGTGGAACGTCAAACTAGCGCCTCAGGCGCTTCAGTGGCCAAATGCATCAGCCCCCCAACATGCTCCAAATCAATGCATGGCTGATGCATCCCAAGTCTGATCCTAGGACTTGAGATGTTCAGATACTTCCCGTTAAATCCTATGTCCTACTTAGCAGCCACATCTCTACTAAGCCACCCAGCTCCACACCTATTTCCAGGTCCGTCCTCAACACCTCGGCGGCTTTGGCCCAAGCGTGGTTTCGGGCACACGCGCCCGCCAAGTTGTGAAAGGTCCAGCTGATGGGCCTCCACCCCGCGCCGCGGATCGTGTGGGGCACTGGCCCTCCACCTCCGGGTTCATCCGACGGGACAAGGGGTTGAGGCTCTCATTTGTAGGACCATTCGGTTTGCTCATGGGTGGGGTTCAGGCCTCCGGAATGTGGGTCCCATTCTGTAGTGGAGGGGAGAAGGATGCAGTTCCGAGAAAGCACCGGCCAGTTGCAGACATGTTCGAGAAGCTCAGTGAGAAAGCATCAGGGCGCCCAATGAGCCCTGTGAGCACATGTCATTTTGATTCGACTAACTAGGGTCAACAAAAATTGTGCAAATTTACGTTCATCCATAATCCATTCATCCAGGTGGTGCTTGGCTATGCCTGCAGCACCCTCAGGCAACTCTCAGGAAAAAAGTTAACTTGACCTACACCGAGACTTGTTGGTTTGTTTCCCCTTTCACCGCCCACAAGACCCCTATGAGGCCTCAAACGTCGCAGCTGCAGCTCCTAAGATCTGGTGAGCACCGAAGATTGCTGAAGATAAACGATAGGATTGACGGGAATTGTTTTTCCCCCCACCCACGGCACAAAGGCTTTGAGATCCTTCATGATCCTTCATGTCTTATTTAATCTTATTATTTCTATGTCTGAAAAAGATCTTTGGCACAAATCCGTGCACCCAGACCAGACTGGCCATCTTCGTTCACCCAGACCGGCCGCCCGTCCTCGAGTAGTGCTACGGCTCGAGGCCAGCCGGGCTCCACGTCCTCGAGCCGTTCCGAACTCCTCGACAGAGCAACGACGCGGACGGCCGACCCGGCGAGGATGAGTGCACCCGTTGGGATGCTTTGGAAGATGGAGGATTTTTGAGATGAACCAATCCCACCAGCGAAAAAGATCGAAAAACCGGTGAGTTTCCGGTGGCTTTTCGTGAGGGGGTTAGGGCAGGGGGCCCTGACGTTTGTATATTTGTTGCTCTCCGTGAGGCAAGCCAGGAATGACCAAATCACTCAACCCAAGACGGTAAACTTCTGGGGAGCCAATGGCTTGAACCTGCAAGTGATCTAGAGAATGCGCAAAATGAACCCGGAATGGTGAGGCTTCCCCACCCACTGGCCGCACACGTTCACTCTGAACATGTTCACCCCTGAGCTGCACAGCTGGGCAACGCAACAATATCGGAGAGCGAAATCTCCTTGCAAGCGAAGACGTGGGAAACTCCTTACTGTATGTCAACCACCTCTCAAACTCCCGTGCAGCTCAACTGGAGCTGCGAGGCGAGGCTTGTCAGAGAACGACTGAGGCAGCGAAGCTGCGAGAAGTATATAGAGACTTTCTTCACTGTGACGCCAATTTGCAGTGTCCCTTCCCAAGACATCCTTTGCGAGTCCTCCTTTGCGATCCCTTCTTTGGAAGTCCTCCTTTCCGACACCTCCTTTGCGAACCCCCCCCTTGGCTAGTCAGCCCCTTTGCGAGTCCTCTTTTACGCGCCCGATTGACCCATGCTGGATGGCTGGATTGTTTTTGACAGGTGGATCAGCACGTGGAGCAGAGGTGGTTGAGGGCTCGGGGCTGATACATTCGATCCGCCTTGGTGTAAGGTCTTTCTGCGGGACGCCGCTTCACAAGAGACCCTTCGCAAGCGATCGCACGCGTGGACTTTCTCATTTGCGAGGCTTCCCTCAGCACCAACACTTCCACACGCCGCCCCTTTGCAAGTCATCATCCCTTTAACGCGAGCCCTGGGTGGGCCTTCCCCCTTTTCACAATCAGAACTAACTCCTTCGCAACACCTTGCTGCGAGACCCCCTTGCCTTTGCGGGTCACCCTTTGGAAGCACCGAAAGGGACTCCCATGACTCCCCCCCCTTGGCGAGACCTCCTTCGACGTCGCGGCTGAAAGCTTTCCGGCTGCGCGGACTCGGGCCACTTCGATAGGACAGTACTGGCAGGTGCTGCGGGGATGTTCGAAAAAGAGCACCGGTGGCTGGATGTGGCTGAGCTCCCATACGTGCTCCAGGGCTCAATGCTCCAGCTACCAGAGCCGCGACAGCTCAAAGAAGGAAGGCTAGGAAAGAGTGTAGACTTGCAAATGACTGTCTTCCAGGACCATCTGGGTGTATCTGGGTGTCTTGGTGGGGCGTCCAGCCCCGCTGCGCTGCGCCAGGGACTCCAGCCAGGGACTGACTTGATCAACCCCAAATCCTTCCCCTCAAAGTCCAAGACGATGTCCAAAATGCTCCTCAATGAACCTGAACAGGAATGCCTTGACTTCGTTGTCAAATACACTCCAACTGCACTCAGAACGGGACTTGCAGGGCTTCACCAACCTAAAGTTCGATCCCTTTCGCTGGTGGGATTGGTTCCATTCCCTCGATTCACTCCCCCTCACCATCAGGAGCTTCTGAACTACCCCCCCATCCGGGAACTACCACGGGAGAACACGACATCCGAACTCCTGGCGGAGTCAAGGCCGATCGCGCGCAGCGCGAGGTGATAGCTCTTGAGGTCGGGCGTGGGTAGCTGTGGCGACCTGAGGCAGCGTCCGGGAGGATGCGAGGAGACTCCGTGGAGTTCCTTTTCTTGGGTGGGTTGGGTTAGGGGAATCTGGAATCTGAGGGCTGGGGAGATGGTGTTCTTGGGTCCAACGAGAAGGCAAAGAACATGTTTGAAGTGCTAAATTGTGTGTACTAGTATTGATATGTATTGAAATATTGTTTAATGATGCTCACTTTCCTTCATCCAAAGTTGTGAAGAGCCAAGTTGTTCATAGTTGTTCCAATAGCTATGCATGGAGCTGGATACCAAAGTTGCCCAGACCAGCACTCGGAGTGTGTTGACCATCGGTACCCATGACTCAAGTCGGTCAAACCCTCCAATATACAGCTCATAAACCTAAACTATCACATTTCAGATCTCCACCCTCAATGCAATGCATCAGCGCACCGAGGAAAAAAACTGCATCTATCTGTCATCATCGATCAATCCCTGAACAGTCCCATCAAAAGCTCTCTGAGCTGAGTTCACCACATTTACCACTGTCCTACACCTGTCCTACCACATCCGCCCCCATCTCCTCCTCCTCCCAAGCGGTGCCTGGAGTGGAGAAGTTCGACGGCCTGCTGGGCCAGGTGGCCCCTCTCGCAGGCGTGCAGGCCGAAGTTCAGCAACTCCGTGGTCACCTGCGGCGCCCCGGCGCGCTCCATCTGGAGAGACCGGTCTGCGAAGGCGGCGCCACTCCGCGCGGAGTAGAAGGACGGCCCAAGATGGTTTGAAAAGACCAATTGGAAAATCGGAGAGGGTCCCGGCCAGTGGAATTTGTGACTTCTGGCTTTCCTTCCGGAAGAAGTGAGAGTGGGAAGTCAGGTAGAAACTGGGTGACAATGCTGAGTTGGGTGGTTGTTTGGACCAAACAGCTGAACAATCTGTTGGTCTGTTTCTGTCAATGGATGTCAATGGGATTCTTGTGTCAATGATGTATGTGAGACCAAACGGTACCGGATGAGACCAGCTGCACCAAACAGTCATGCCATAAATTGCAGTGAACCCCCCGACCAAAACCGGTGAAACCTCTCATTCCCACACCTCCAAGTACCTCCAACCACCGGTGAAACCATGCCCTAGGGCAAGTACCTTCTCAGGTACGGTGATGTGTTCGACACTGTGATGTAGGTGCCATGTACGAAAACGGGTCCCTAGGACATATGAAAGCCCAAAGGGTCGGATAGCTGTTGAACCCCCAAGGGGTCACCCTGAGTTGAATGGTTCTGTACCTCCGCAGTGAGTGAGTGGATGTTCGGGGCACCCCGACGGTCCTCCCAGTTCGGCACAGCAAGGTGAGTCCTGGATCAAGGAACTGCTCAAAACGCCGATCCAGCAGCAGCAGCAGCAGCAGCAGGAGCACGCGCACCAGCACACCCCCAAAAAATGCCGATCCAGCACCAGCACCATCATGTGCAAAACGAAACACTGATCCAGAGCCACACCATTGAGAAACGATTAAGAACCCCCATAGCTTGCAGCTATCCAGGGAAGAAAAGCCCCCAAACGTAGGGTTTTGCATGTCTTCGAGCACATGAGCTTCCGGGATGCCAAAGCCAAAAGGTTGGGCCACCCATCTGTATCCCAAAACATGTTGCAAAGCCTTGGGAAACTCTGGATGGAGGATGTCCTGCACCATCATGCACCATCTGTACTGCAACTTGCAACTTGAGAAGCACTTCGAGTTTCTGGACCCTGAAGCTTCTTCTAGGTCCCCCACCCGATGCGCGCGCCCTGCGCCTCCACGTCGGAGTAGCTGGCCAGGCTCCAGAAAACATTCCTAGAGCAAGGCACTCATTTGTGACGGCGCTGCGGCACACCACCCCAATGACCCCCAGATTTGGTATCAAATGGGATGAGGCCCAAATTCCTGGATCTCAACTGCAAGCATCTGTGAGTGCTCAGTAGTTCTAGCACGCTAAACACTGGACCTGCGCTGCTCTATTGGCTTCAAACCGGGTTCAGCCCGGGAAGCAGCCTCCAACTCATGCAGGGCCTTCGGCCAAAATGAGAAAAACATGGGGAAGAAGAACCTTGAAAAAACATGATAAAACCATTTACAAAAAAACACTCACCTGGCCTTCGTTTGCCCTTGGCTTTGCCCTTCGTTTCAGGCTCCTTCGTTGGCTTCGTCTCTGCTGGGAGATACCACACACTCCGCCGCAGAGCGGCGTGGTCTGGTCGTCTTGCAAAGCCAGGAGTCAAGGCATGAGACCAACAGGAGCGAGCCGCCAATTGGGCCACGCAAGTGATGCCTAGGCCACGAGGAGGGTTTCGGCGAGAGCTGGGACCGGAGCTGAGGAGAACCGGTCAGACCTCACTCCCAAGAACTGGGCGACCACCAGTGAAACGTACGGCTTCGGGAAGATTCATGTGCTTTCTTCGTCGTTCTTCCTTTCGACTTGCCGAGCTCCAAGTCGAATCAAAAACTGTCCAACTGACATTCGGACGTCCGACATCTGACTCGACCAGCGATCCCTCCAAAGCATCTTGCTTCGTCATAAATACGAAGTGATACCGAGGCATAGCCTCAAACGCCCTCAAAGAGTTCAAGGGGGGCGGTTCCTTTGAGCGCGTTCCAGCCCAGTCTGAGTGTTCCGGAGCGGCTTCGAGGTTTTTGAGCGTGCAAGCACGGCAGCGCATCTCAACAAGGCATCCCTTCAAGGCTTGGTACAGTAGGCACCCCCCACGAGCTAGGAGCGGTCGGACGCTACGAACGTAGCTCCTGGCCTTACGAACGTAACAAGAAGCTACAAACGTAGCAAAGGGCGTCGCTACTAGGAGCTTTGCGCCTTTGTCGGCCTCCAGAATCACCACCCCAGCGATTCCGAGTCCAAGCCACCCCGGCGGCAAGTGCCAGCCCTCCTAAAAACACAAGTCTATCCTGAAGCGAGCTGCCATATGACGGTGGCAACACCTTGGTGGTAAGCCTCTCACGCTTGTGTTGGGAGATTTGCCTCAGCGAACCGGCCATTGCCTGCCCGTTTGCCCCTGAAGAGTGTGAAGAGAACAACATGCAAATATATGCGTTCAACCAATGAAACACGGACCCCGACACGTCACACCAACCCAACTATGTTGTTGCTCCGAACTCGGAGAGAAAATGTGCTCAGTTTCCAAGTGCTCAGTCCACCATTTTGAACGGTGTCCTCTTAATAAACACCTCTTAACGCCTCATCCCACATCCTGCTTCCTAAGGATCCACCGTACGAGCGCCAGCGACTCACGCAGGCTGCGTTCGGACCAGTGCTGCGCCACCTGCCTGGCCACCTTGGGCTGCCGCGCGCGGGCGCAGGAGCTCAAGCAGGCGGAGAGGCAAAGGAGGTCGGGCGTCAGCGACTGCATGGGGATCTGCCAAAGGAGCTGCAGAGTGGCTTCCCACTGCCTAGGAGTGAGAAGACAACAGCACACCAAGGTCTACTGCACGGACCATTGGTGATCGTATGTTGGAAAGTAAGTGATTTTAGGCATGAGGCATTCTTGGAAAGCTTCAAGTTGGGAATTTCTGGGCCACTTCGACCTCTTCAACACCCGTCGAAGTGTTTACCTCCCAACAATGAATGCTAAGGCACGTGGCCTCTGCACAGGCTCCCATTGCAGCGCTGTAGGGGAATACAGTGGGATTAGGTCGCATTGGTTCCTCGGAATAGCTTTCCGGTGGCAAAAGCGTGCTTTCATCCTGGAAAGGAAAAAGGGCAATCCCCAAACTAAAGCTGTGTCAAATAGGACGATGAGATTGTTGGACTGGAAACCGTGTCAGGTTAAACACGGCGCAAAAATCAAGAAACACCCATCACTGGACACTGCCGCTTCATCTCCAGTTGGCAGTTACTCAGTGACTCGTGAGCTGGCAGGTCCTGCGGACGAGGTTCCAATGCCCTCTCCAACTTCATCTCAGCCAAGATCTCCAAGGCTTTCTGCCACAGGCCCAGCCGATAACATTCCTCCAAAGCCGCCCTCGCCGCAGCGCGGGGAGGCGACGTGCCACGGGCCTCAGCCGAGCTCAAGGTCCCCAAGGCATTGACTCACCTAGAATGTTGCGACCAGGGGCAAGCACCCCAAATTCCCAACTACTTGCTTGAGACAGGTTCCTCAGGTCCATTCAGGTCCTCAGATTCACAACATGAAGCAGGCCCTACATATTAGAGGCCTGCTGTTCTCATCTCTCCCAACGAGTCGCCCCAAATCCAATGCGTCACGTATCTTATAACCCGGGTCTCCTTTGGAGGGTTGTTAGGCCCTAATCTCTCCGCTGATGAGTCGCGGAGAGTTGACCTTGCTCCACCTGCCTCCACACCTGCCTGTGGAAACCCCTAAACCGCACCACTCACCCTTTGGTAGAGAGAAAACCATAGAGAACTCTCCTCCCCCAATGGCGACCCGAAACTCTCCTCCCCCACCGTCCTCCACACACACGTGCCTGCACACCGCTGGCGGCCCGTGAACGGAGCCGGGATCTCCCAGCCCCTGAAAGGCGCAGGGAGCGCTGCAACAGCTGCGCCATGGCGCTGGTCGCGCGAGAAAACCCATCATTCACATCCAATGATTGGTACAGGTTTTGCTCAATTGCCCCCCCCCCCAGATTGGGACCTGCTAAGATTGGCTGGCCATTCTTGGATGATTTGCTGGCCCCTCGAAGTCGACTCAGGGATTAGGACCTGTATCGGCCCAGGTCCGCTTTAGCCACTTTGACTGGCTCAGTTGGGAAGACCCGCTGCAAATGTTCAGGATCTCTTCCAGCAAGTGGCACATGTTCGATTTTCTCTGAGCGGGTTGGAGTGTGACGCTTTTAGCGGACCAATGCGGACAATGGTCAGCGGGTCAGCATGCTCTATGCCGTGTCTTCAGAGATTGGGAAGGGGGCCACCGGCTACCTGTACAGTCATCAGGCCTGGTGCAGAATCATTACCCGCTGGTTCTCCTTCAAGGTTGAACCGAACCGCCGGGAGTTCTGTGGAAGCGAACTCCTTTTTGGGGACACTCCATTTGGATGGATTCCACCTCTCTCTCGCTCTCCCTCTCAGGTGGATCAATGGATACAGATCCTCACCATGTAAAGACCATTCAAAACTGCTTTCTGAACCCAGTCTGTCTAGTCACCCTCCGACCCCAAAGGGGCCCCAAAGGCCTCTCAGCTCCTGCGATGAACCCAGTCGCCACGGAGCACCGGTGCGATGAGGAACCCTCCGATCCGCCGGACGAACATCTCCGATCCGGGAGACCTCTCAAGCATCCTCTCAGGCGCCTGGCCTTCGGATGCCTTCGGAAACAACAGCCCATATGGGGGCCAGGGGGGCCTTTGTTTTTACAAAAAGACACACCCATATGACACCCATATACATGTGATTCATATGATCCTGACTGAAGGAAAACGAAAAACAACAAAAGAACAGTGGGAATCACTCCGGTGGGTCCCGAACAGTCCTCATCCTCCCGGCCCCGCTTTCCATCTTCCAAGGGCTGAATACACGATCCCATGGGGACCAACGCAAAAACCGCTGGGTGTTGGGATCCAGGAAAAGCTCCGCCCCTCCAGGGTCTCCCAAGAACCTCCAGGGGGGTGCTGAAGCGACCGGGGCCGAACCGACCACGTCTGTTCTCCGTGCTTCTCAGGATCGGAGCGCTTCGGGTCCCGAGGGCCCGAGGTGAGACGGGTCGGGGCGAACGGCCACCCAACGGCCGTGGTTTCCACGGCCGAGTGCAGCCGAGTCCTGCGTGGCGGACGAGGAGTGTGGGAGGATGGAGATGGAGATGACCAGACGTGAGGCATAGTGGGTTTGGGGAGGCATTCTTCTCACAAGCGCAGGCTTGGGGCACACGGTTTGAATGACCACAATGGATCCCATCAGTCACATCTGGCCGCACTTGAAAACGGCAGGGCCCCCGGTTCCATCTCAACTGAATCCTTCTATCTTCCCAGGGAGGGTGCCCAAGCCAAAAATAGTGCCACCAACACCCAGCTTGCCACCCTGGATTCAGTTTCCCCAGAAACCCACCCATGACACCTCTTTCAAAGCACCACCATGCACCACCGTCAAGAATCCTCCAGATGATTCTCTTGAAACACCCCTCAAATTCCCAAAGCCGCACTCACCACCCTTGCCCACCTCAGCTGCCTTAGGAAAAGCCAAGGCCAAGGGGGTCCGGTGGAAGAGGATTTGGCTCCACCTGGTCAAACAACCACATCCATGGTGGTCTGTCGGTCTTCCAGATGCATTTCCGTTTTCTTCTGGAGTCTCCAGCTCACTGATGGCGTTGAATTGCCCCAACATGATTGCAAACGACCCGCACCATGTCAGTGGGAAAATCCCACCGCTTCAGTCGTCATTCAGTCTAGACCTCGCCATGTTCCAGGCTGTACCAGTGGGCTGTACTCAGTCGTTGGGGAATTCCACGCCAATCTCCACAGCGCAGCGGTGCCCCTGACGGAAGTCTGCCTCCCCCCGACGGAAGCGGTTCACGCCCTTTCTGTAGAACCTCAGGATGCGGGATGGAGCCACCCACGAAACAAGTGATATAGAGAGAGAGAGAGAGAGAGAGCAGAGAGATCTATATAATTTATAAATTACATGACTTGTTTTTACAACCCATGGCCACCCCTTCTGTTTTACAAATTGTAGCATGTTGCAACATGTACATATACACACTATTGCAATATACGTTGAGAATCGTTGAGAAGCGTCTGCTCTTGATGCCTTGATGCCATGTCCTTTGTAGTTTGTCGACCTCCTCTCTTTCTTCCAGGTGCAAAGTTGAGAAGTCCTTTCTCTATCGCACTGCGGCCCGACGCCGCAAATACATGCAAATACCGACGCATCAAACAAACACCAAAGTGACGTCAAGACACCCTGACAAAGGGGAAAAACCATAGAAACCGCCCGTATGAGGCATGAAGGTCTCCCATGATCTTGAAGGTTGTCTCGTCGGTGATCCCGCCCTATACCCTGCAAAACTGCCCGACTGGCAGCCCGTTGCACGCCAGAATCCGGAAACCCTGGCACTCCCCTCCGAACGGAATCGCATGGATGTGGAGTTCACCTGCTGGTGAAGGAAAATGGTCTCCTTTTCAGGCCCCCACCATCCACCTGCACAACTTCACCATGGATTGGTGGGCTTCCATACCACCAGGAGCGGACAATGAAACACAAAGAAGGAGCCCCTCGAACACCATTCCCAACTGAAAACACCTACCTGAGCACCACATAGCTCCGAGAACTGGCATCCCAACCAGCCACCCCTCTCCTTTTGGCAGAGGGACTCGTGGCTGGTGCGGAAGATGAAGTCCTTTCTCTTCTTTCGAAACCTGGCCCAGGTGAGTTCGGACCCGCAAGTCGGGATGCTCAGATGGGCATCACCTTCGCCCGATACATGTCACATTCGCCCCGGTCTCAGACGCGGTGAACCAAAGAATCCCACATTGTGAGGTGTGCGCCATCGGTGAAAATCGTCCAGCAACCATCCCGTCCAAACTGATGGAAATGGCTTGGACTCAACACTTCTGCGCCGAAGCACGGAGACGCTGCACTGTCTGAGTCATAGAAACTTCAAGATGTCTTCCAAGAGTCACAAAGGGGTGCTTATTGGAGGATAGGGGTCCCATTATCCACCGGGACTAGAAACCACACCTTTGTGACTCCTGGTTTGCTTCTTTTGACGGCACACCTTGAGACGTCAGACGTCAAAGCAGGTCTTGGGTCACAGGCTTCTCGTGGACTCCCTCCACGAATATGCTGAAGAAAGTTCTGCATATGAACTTCCTAGCCCTCTTTATCTCCGCCACTTCCCCAGAAAAGGAGACTGCCGCTGTTTCGTCCTACACGGAGTGGTCTTTCATGTGACGCCTCCCCCCAAACCCTGCCAGGCTGACACCCGGCTGTGGTCCGAGCGCATAGTCTGAACCTCGGGGCTGCGAAGGGTCCGGGCAGGCGAGGGCGAGGGCGCTCCAGATCTGCAGACCGCAGGTGGAGGTGTTTTTTTCCAATGGCACCTGTCCCCCAGCATCCTCCCGACAGAGCGAAACCTCCAAGCATCGCCATAGCGGTCCTTTTTCCACGTGCGTGCGTCTGCGGTCCAGCCAACCTGAGAAGTCGGGGCAGTGTGGGGGGATCTGTTTAAAGGTGTGAATGATAGGCCAGGTCTATAGATGAAATCGCTTTGGCTTGCCCCAAGCGTGGTGGGGAAAAAAAACACCCACACGCACACACTTCGACACTTGTATTCAGTTAACTCAATTCCCCGAGGAAAGGAATGGCTCAACGGCAAGGTGAGGAGTCCGATCAATTGAAGGTGTTTCAACAAATAGTTTGTGCGCATCTGCAGACTCGCGACAGCAGCGGACGAGCGGCGGACGGCAGCTGAAACCGATGGAAAAGGGTTTAGGGGAAGTAGCATGAACCACCATGGAAACAAACAAAGAAAGAGTGGAGTGACAGCTTGTACAACAGTTCGGCAGGTACGTTTGCCGCCCCCCGCAGTGGCCTCTTCGTTGGCCATCCGCCACTGGGGAGGGGGATGGCCCCCTGCTGTGAAAAAGGTAGAAGTTGGCAGTGAACCCTTTGGCACAGGGGTTGACACACACAGGTCGCCGTAATCGGCGCTTTTTCTTTTCAAAAACCGGCTGCAAGCAGCTGGGTGGTGTCCTTTTGAGACGTAGAGCTGCACTAGCTCAGTGGCAGCAGCGTCAGCGCTTGAAGGTGGAAAGGTGTATGTGCTGGTGCTTGTCGACGTCCTTGAGGATGTGCTGGTGCTTGTTGACGTGCTTGAGGATGTGCTGGTGCTTGTTGACGTGCTGGAAGATGTGCTGGACTTTGTGCTTGTGCTTGTTCTGCTTGTGCTTGATGTTATCGAGAAACTGGAGGAGGTGGATGTGATGGTTGTTGTTGCGGATGTGCTCGTGCTTGTTGCCGTGCTGGAGGATGTGATGGACGTTGTGCTTGTGCTTGTTCTGCTTGTGCTTGATGTTGTGGAGAAACTGGAGGTTGTGCTTGTTCTGATTGTGCATGTTCTGCTTGTGCTTGATGTTATCGAGAAACTGGAGGAGGTGGATGTGATGGTTGCTGTTGCGGATGTGCTCGTGCTTGTTGCCGTGCTGGAGGATGTGATGGACGTTGTGCTTGCGCTTGTTCTGCTTGTGCTTGGTGTTGTGGAGAAACTGGAGGTTGTGCTTGTTCTGCTTGTGCATGATGTTATCGAGAAACTGGAGGAGGTGGATGTGATGGTTGCTGTTGCGGATGTGCTCGTGCTTGTTGCCGTGCTGGAGGATGTGATGGAC